TTGAACTTTCCTGTCGGCTCCCAGACCGTGGTCGAGGAAACAGCGGGGATGACTCTCTGTCGTCTCCCAGGGCAGAAGCAACACGCTTCGGATTCAATAACCCACTCACTGGAGAGAGGCGAGCTCGTCTTGGGAGGCCGTTGTATTTATTTAGTTCTTCCNGTTCGTTGTCGCGTTCGCGCGCGTCCACCTGGGCAGGCTGTGTGTGTCCTTCTCCCATGACGATAACGGCTTGCGGTTATAAAATAATAATACCATTTTTTTAAAGGGAACCGGCTCGCGCCCGCGAACGAGCCGTTTTTTTTTGTTAAGTAATACAAGACAGAATGATATGATGATCTCCGCGCTACAGCTGCTTCGTGCATGCATGCAGTGACATGTAATATCCAAGGATTAGAGACGGTTGGATGCTGCTGTACTGAGCATTACAATATATTTATTTTCACTATGTTATTTATTTATGATTATCCTTAGGCTCAGCAAAGATTTGATGTCAGCTGTTGCTGTCTTTTTTTCTATAGTTAATACTGAAATAGAGCCCTGCTGTTTTGTTAGGGCTTTTTCTTTAAATATAATTTTTAAATGTCGATACAGTAGCCCCTTTTTTTAAATGTCTATGCTTAAGTGTTTATAGGTGTTGCTGTCTGCTTTGTGTAGCGTGGTTCTACAAGTGCATTCATGGGGTGGTATCAGAGAGTTACACGGGTCTGTAAATGCAATGAAAACATTTGACCACAGCAAATAATTGATATTAAACATGTCATTTTTACTTTTGAATACTTCAGTACAAAGGATATATTGAATAATTTAAGTGTGTACACAAATGAATCATTAGTCAAAACAGGGCTACATTTGATTGAGTTATAAAAGGTATATGTGGTAAACTGAAGAGCCGTTAGGGAGCCGAAAGAGCCGGCTCTTCTTGGTGAGCCGAGCCAAATGATCCGGCTCACCAAGAAGAGCAGGAATTCCCATCACTAGTGAACATATTCAAATACATTAGTGACACTATATAATATAACTTAATTCATTGTGTCACCATAATGGCAGTACATAATTCAGATTACAGCCTTTTACATCCGATGGTTAAACAGGCATGAATACTTCAGGAAATAGGTTCAGATTGTATTTGATCAACAGGAAATGTGTTGACAGTGTTTACATGTAATTAAAAGGTTGAACACCTGATGAGCAGAATAATATGAAACATAATGGTCTTACTTAAAACATATAGTATCGATGTAGAATACAACAACCCTTTCCATGCAATTCTTCCTGATGTACTTCTTTAAAGTGGACCTATCATGCTATATTTGAAACATATATTGTAGGGCCATACCTATACAAAACATGTCTGTGAAGTTTTTTTTTCAAAATACCAAACAGTTCACCCATTGTAGCCATGCCTCATACTGCTCAAACCCCTCTTTTGAAGCCCTGTTAGAGAAAGGCAGATTTTGGGTCCTTAGCTTGAAAAAAAGAAAGAAGAGGAGGCGGAGCTAATGCCTGATCAGAATTCTACTGGAGAAGTTAAATTCGGTTGTGATAAAACGCCATCCTGTTTAAACCACGTCAAGGATTATTTCTGAAATAGTATGGAGCTCAAATACTTTTTCTCTTGCGGGTTTATCACAAGGTGAGTTCTTTTTTTATTTCCTGCTTTTTAAACACATGTGCTCTCCAGTACAGGTTAGCTCTGAGTGTTAGCGAGGCTTGCTAATGTAAACAAAGACAATATTACGTCCAAAACACGTCAGGCATTGTTTCTGATAGCAACTTTCTGTGGGTCCGCCACCAATTATTCCGGGCTGACGTCAGCTCGGATGGAATCTGTATCCGCTCGTTGTGTGTGTGTGTGTGTGTGTGTGTGTGTGTGTGTGTGTGTGTGTGTGTGTGTGTGTGTGTGTGATGTGCAGAAAGAATAGATGGTTGTTTCCACTGCATTGCCATCAGTGGGCTGCGTGATTCCCCGACGCACCGGGGACACACATTTATGTATAAAAGACATCACAAAGTGCATTTTGCATGATAGGTCCCCTTTAAGTCTTTGGCTAAGAAAGTCCTACAGTAGGAGAACAATAAGAAAGAGGCGCTGCTGCTCACTGGACTCTCTCCAAGGTGCTGAAATTAGACTTCAAGGACTGGAGCTTTTCACAAGAGACTCAAACTCCCAAATGTAAAACAAAACCAGAGTGGCTAACAATGCTGCCATGGACATCAACCAATTAAATGGATTCAAGCTGCAACAATACATTTATTAATAGGTCATTGTTTGAGTTACATTTGAAGCTAAAGGCCAAACCTTTACTTATTCTAGCTCCTGTGTGTGAAGATTAAGGTGTCAATTAAATACTTGTTGGGTATGGGACTGTTGCTCAGAAGAGATATCTTTGCAGGGCAACACCGTAGGCTTTGGAAACGTATGACAGTCTTCTCTGATATAGATATCCTTAAATGTACTTCTTAATTATATTTCAGCAGCATAACAAGGATGATTAAACAACACTCAATTACCACACAGCCTTGCTATAGGAGAGTTCTCTCGACATGTTTCTAGACTCTTCAGAGGCCATCACCAGAGGAAGTCAAATGTAACACAATCTCTTTCTAACCTGGAGATGATGACACATCTCGAAATATGAGCAGATAGTCTTTCCAGGACTTTAAATAAGCAGTTGATTACAGGATATGCAGATTCCCACAGGGACTCACTTGGCCTAAAAAATAACGTATAGCTCTTCCTCACCTATTTTCCTCTGCAGGGGAGAGGGCTTGTAGTTGATGGTGACAGGTTCCCCCTCTCGGGTGTCGGAGTCCGCCTCTGAAGCCGTGGACGAGGCCGGGTCCTGGAGACACAGAGATGAGCAGAAATGTGCATTACTGAGGCATTAATGAATAATCAACACCTTTTTGTTATGCATAAAACAACCTATCAACGACAATGTGAATGAAACAGTTCATAAATAGATCAAACATGTGTGGAAAGGCCCGAATAAATGAATGTTTGAGGTTAGCTTGTTTCCATCTTTTTCTGCTCGCAGACTTTCCCATTGGTTGGGTTTTATTTATAAATCTCTGCTTGGGTTGGTTCCCTCCTACATTTGCACATATATGTGTCAAAGAGAAAGTCTATATGGCCTGCGCTCCCAAGATTTTATTCAGAGGCTGGTCCCTACAGTGAGAACAAAACTGAGTAAAACAGCTTTTAGATATGCTGCCCCCACAGCTTGGAACAATGTACAGAAGGAGCTGAAACTCTCAGATTTAATCACTATGGGGGAATTCAGGTCCATCTTAAAGGACAGAGAACACGACACCATTGGTAGATGTGAGTGCTCGTATATCCTAAAATCGTTTTAAATTTTGCCAGTTTTTAATGNAAAGCTAAAAATAAAATTAGGTTTCTTTTAGGAAACATTTGATATCAGCAACGTTTTTACCTGTATTGGATTATGGTGATCTGCTATACATGAATGCCTCTGACCAGTGCCTAAAGAGCTTGGATACTGTGTACCATTGTGCCTTACGATGTATTACTGGATGTGGATATCGAGTACACTATTGCACTTTATATGCTGCTGCTAATTGGCCATCTTTGTCTGCTCGCAGACTTTCCCATTGGTTGGGTTTTATTTATAAATCTCTGCTTGGGTTGGTTCCCTCCTACATTTGCACATATATGTGTCAAAGAGAAAGTCTATATGGCCTGCGCTCCCAAGATTTGATTCAGATGCTGGTTCCTACAGTGAGAACAAAACTGGGTAAAACAGCTGTTAAATATGCCGCTTGGATATAATGTACAGAAGGAGCTGAAACTCTCAGATGTAATCACTACGGGGGAATTCAGGTCCATCTTAAAGGACAGAGAACACCTGAGAGTTTCAGCTCCTTCTGTACATTATATCCAAGCGGCATATTTAACNTTAAAACGATTTTTGGATATACGAACACTCACATCTACCAATGGTGTCGTGTTCTCTGTCCTTTAGGATGGACCTGAATTCCCCTAGAGTTTCAGCTCCTTCTGTACATTATTCCAAGCTGTGGGGGAAGCATAATTTAAAAGCTGTTTTACCCAGTTTTGTTCTCATTGTAGGAACCAGCATCTGAATCAAATCTTGGGAGCGCAGGCCATATAGACTTTCTCTTTGACAGATATATGTGCAAATGTAGGAGGGAACCA